AAGACCGAGCGCGAGGGTGGCGGAGAAGGGGGGGGAAGGAGGGGGGGGCGCCGAGCGTGTGTCACTCGCTCTCTCCCTCTGTGTATAGAGGATGTGCTGAATGGTGCGCTTTGAGGCGGCGGCGGAGGAGGAGCAGGATCCGGCGGTCGCTGGCAGCTTTAGCCGCCTGGCTCGGCTTCTCTTCATCTTCCGAGGCTCGGCATCCACCGCGGGCTTCCGACCCCTCGTCCCGCCCGGGGCATGGCCGGGCGTTGCGCCCCCGCGCGCCCCGCCTGCTAAGCGGCGCCTGAGGGAGGTGCGGAGGCCAGGAGGCCGGGGGAGGCCGGCGGGTGAGCAGAGTCGAGCGCCTCTGGAGCAGAGAAAGGAGCCCGCGCCTAGTCCCTGCCGTGCTCGCCCGGGCCACCCGGAGCCCCGATGAGCCCAGATGGCTGGGGCTCAACCCGGAGTGCACGCCTTGCAACTCAAGCCTGTGTGCGTGTCCGACAGCCTCAAGAAGGGCACCAAATTCGTCAAGTGGGATGATGTAAGTATTGGGGCGGCCCGGCTCGGGGCGCTGGCCCGGGCACCCGGCAGGGCGGGCTGCGTGGGGGTGGGGCGAGGGGCGCGTTATGCAATGGGCGCACTGGGAGCGGGCAGGGGCAGCCTCGGGGCGCACAGGTTGTCATCTGCCAGGGCGGACAGCAAAAAGCTGGAGGCTTACGCGCGCTCCTGTGTCCTCCAGGTTTAGAGTTGACATCCTTGTTGGATCTGGTAAACGCCTTCTGAGGGTCTTGTCTGTGGGTTCAATGGAACAGGAGAAGGAAGCTTTGCCTGGTGACGGGTCCAGAGAGTTTAGAAAGTGGGGAATATGAAGTTGGGACCAGTTGGAACTCGCTGGGTACGGACCAGATGCGCCCCTCTCCTGTGAGAACAGGCGCATCCCCATTACCTCTTTTGCCCCTTTTGAAGAAGGAATGACCCCCAAGTCCGAAACTGTTTAGTAATTGCTACCCTCTTAGCGCTTTTCTGAGAGACACGCGGCAGAGGACACATCGGTCCAGCCGACAGGTGGTCGCTGATGCCAAACTTTAGCGCCTGGCTCCGGAGTAAGGGGCCCTGCGAAGGGCGGAGGAGGACACACCTGGGAAGGGCTAATGAGCAGTAGGGTGCCTTTAAGGGTTGAGAAGGGCTTAGTGGGCCTGCAGGCAGGTGAGGAGGGCTAATTTTTGAGAAACGACCTGGCTGGAGTCTTCAGTTTGAAGCAGACACGTCAAGATGTTCCATAAGTATTACCTGTATCTTTTGCCAGGATGGGTACAGCCTACCCCAGTCCCCCCCGGGGTCTCCTGGACTTCACATGTGGTCAGACCCCAGGACTTAAAATGACCTCTCTTCCTTCCACCGCAGTGACTTTCAAAATATTTAAATGAACAAATCCAGCTGAAAACATGTGATTGAAGTTGCACATTATGGTATCAGTTTTTGTCCTGGGTGTCATTCAAAGGGTTTGATAAGAACAACCACTGAAATAAACTCCAGCTGTCAGGATCTAAGGAAATTTAGGTCCAAATGACTAATACATCTCTTAATCAGAAAGAATTATAGGAGAATGAGGCAGTTGTTCTTGCTGAAAAGATTTTCCACCTAGTAAATTATAGCCTCTTATACTCCAGGGTATTTTTCTTTAATCTTCTTAAGCCAATTTCCAGTGTCTGAAAACAATTTAAATATTCCAGGTAGCGAATCCAATTACTTAGCTGAGTGCGTCTGTGTCTATATTTTGTCCAGTTGGAAGCGCAAACGGAACTTGCAGTATGAGCCACAGCTTCCTTGAAAGCTTGTGCCAATTATTAAATGCTGTAGGCAAGGATGTAAACATGCATCTTTTACCATGGACGTTAGACTTTTCTCTTTTCTGTTCCAGTTTAATTGTACCAGATATTTTTGTAAAAGAATATAATCTAAACAATAAATTCAGACACAGGTTAAATGATTTGTGTCATGGGGAAATAAAAGAAAATGCAATTCTACAAAGAAAATAGTCCTGCCCATCTTGAGATCCTTACAAGGAGAGCTAATGTGATGATTTACTGAGAAAGAGAGGGACAGGCAGAGAAGAAGGGAGGGGTATTTTTCTAGAACTGGGAGTTTGGGCATAAGCTCTGGATTTCTTTACAGTTTTGACTTTAAGCTATATTTTAAGTAATTCTCCATAATTTCCTGTTTGGGAGAAAAATAACCAATGCTGTTTCAAGGATGAAGGTCTTTATGAAAATACATTTTGAAATATCCAGGTGGATGATTTGTAATACATGCATTTATGTAACAAATATTCGTTGCCAGCCTTGGACCTCATTTCTGGGGTGGTGAAGAGATTAGACAAAATCCTGGATAGTAAGGCACCTTACATACTAGGTAGAAAAGACAAAAATGATTTAAAAAAAATTGAGAAAGAGAGTGATGCATTGAGACTGTCGGAGGAATCACTAGTGAAAACACCACTGGAAAAAAGAGAAAGGTGAAAGAAAGCTCGCCAAGCCTTGCAGCAGTGTTTCTGGGGGAAACTATAGGAAGGAGGTAGATACTAAGGAGAGAGCCAGTAGAATCCCAGGTCTTTTTAAAGAGGAAATCTAGAGTGCACCCAGGAGAAAAGTTATATTTACTGTGATAATTTATTCTGTAGGTGCTTTGATTCCCTTAGTCTCCATGACCTGAGGACTAAGAGGGACCCAGAATTTCTTAAGATTGCCTTTATCCTTCTGTGGTATTTTCTGCTCAACTCTCTGCAGTTTGTATTTGTTCTCTTAGAATCAAACAAGTTTAGTCTCTCTGGCTATTCTTATTGCATCTTCATGAGATTGTGCATTGAAGACAAAAGAGAACAAAATCTCGAGTCAGAGTCCTGGGTTTACCTCCTGGTTCTCTTGTCAGTCTGCTGTGTAACTTAAGGTAAATCGCTCATTCTCTCTAAACCATTGTTGCTTCTTAAGCAAACCTGAGGTAATGGTGCTGTTCCTACCAGTTTCAGGTAGTAGTTGGGAGGAACCAATAGGAGAAAGCAACACTTCTCACACTGAGCATACATCTGAACCATCTGGAAGACTTGGTAATGCTCAGATTGCTGGGTCTCACCCTCTGTTTCTGATTCAGGTGTGGGCTGGGATTAAAAATCTACCCTTCTCCAAGGGTCTTGGGTGATGCTAATGCTGCTGGTGTGGGAAACCACACTGTGAAAACCACTGGGATAAGGTTTGTGAATGAATTTGGAAAGTATGACAGACATAGCACAGTCTCCTTGGCCTATATCAGTTTTGGTTGGCTTGTGGATTTAATTTTATTTCTGTGTGTATTGAGAAATTCATTCAATAGTTAAACAACTTAACAATCTTTCATTTACTTGTTATCACTTCAAAAATGGAGAATCCTTCTTTCTTTTCTATAAAAGGAAGGGTGAGCATACTCATAAAACAGATTCTCGGTATACCGATACAAAGCATCACACATAAAAGGACATTTAAAAATGATGTGTTTGGAGCTATTTAGAATTGTTAGAGGTTACTTCTTATTCCTTAAATGAAAGCATCATATCCCCTGGTCCTTACCACCATAAAGAGTGGGAGATGTCACCCAGAGAGTGCCATGCCATACACAATGTTTTGGCTCCCTACCAAAATCCTGGTGAGGCTGTGGATGCTCTCAGGGTGTGAGTGAAAGCTTTCACACAGGCACTGACCAGTTACAACAGCAGGTGGCTAAGAGCAGGAGCCAGAGCCCTGTTGTACTAGGCAGGCATTGACCCTTTTACTGCCTAATCCTGGCAAGGTCTGGGCTCCCTAGGGTTTGGGGTAGATGGGGCGGGGGGAAATTTGGAATGTTTCAGAATTTTAAAACTAGTAATGTAAATAGTTTCAACATTTGAACCTTTGATGCTTCTTAAGTAATGGTGCCTTCCCTACCAGTTTCATGTAGAAGTTGGGAGAAACCAATAGGAGAAAGCAACACTTCTCACACTTGAAGATACATCTGAACCATCTGGAAGACTTGGGAACTAAGCCTGTCCTGAACTTGGCAAGCAGATAAAGAATCGACTTATCACGGCTACCTGTTTCACTAATGATATTAAAGGAAGAAACTTTATGTCCTTGCTTTAATTTTATGTTTTTATATTATCGGGCTTTGGTGGTTAGAAGTGGATATAAAGGACTGTGCACTTTATGGAAAAATGCTAATGAGATAGATAGTGGAAGGAGAGTTACTTTTTCCAACTCGAGTAGAGACCTGGGGAGGTAGTGAGACTGGCCCTTTTCTCTCCTGGACCTTGGCTTTGCTCTGGATTATTGGACAGGATTTAGAAGAAAAAGGGAAGGACCCCAAACTGCACAAGAAAAGGGAAAGGACCCCTGCCAACCTTGATTTGCCTCTGTTTCCCATTGCCAGGACCCTGTCTCTTTGTCTCATACCCTGTAGAGAAAGGTTTTCATTTGTTTGTTCATTCTCTTCTTCATTCTTACTTTCCAAATTTGGTTCTCCTGATGGGCAGGTTGCTTCATACATCCCCACCTCAGTTTCCTCAACTGTAATGTGTAGATTGCAGTATTTCCCTCCTCCCCAAACAGTTGTTAAGGTTTCAGCAGAGAAAGCATATATGTCACTTTGTGTATGGCCTGACACACAGGAAACCCTCAATAAAATGTTCTTTTAAAAAGTTATTGTCCCCTAAGAGAATCATGAATTTTTGTCAAGTCAGGGTCAGGTGCTTTTAATGTATTCATGGGAAGATCCAGATCTTTCTTCTATTCCCTTTAATTTGTATTTTGATTTTTATAGGTTATAATTTAGAGAAAACCAATCAGTTTTTTTAACCTCTTTTAAAAATTTCAGATGGGTCATGGAAAATGAATCTACATAATTCAAAGGAGGACCCACTCTTTTTTAAGCAAGTCAGTTTGCAAATTATTTAGAAGTTTTATTCCTATTTAAATTATGTATCTATTTCTCTGTCTCTCTTTATATATAAATGTATCCCCCACACATACTTAACCTATATATAATCTTAAATCATATTTCCTGTTTCTCAAGGATAATCTAACACTCAAATGTCATAATTGCTAGACTAAGTTGTTTGAGAAAAAGTTTGAAGAAGCCCAGAGGTTTGGATTTCCATTAGTTCCCTTTAGGCTTGAAATAAGAACTCCCTACCCCTAATTAAAACAGAAAAATTGACGAAGGCAGCATTCTACAGAAAAGCTTAGTTAGAACTTTTACATTATATGGAATCTGCTGTTCTGGTTTCTAAAACGATTACAAGATAAGATGACAATGACTGAAGACTAAGGAGGGAACAGAGGGGAAGGGTTCCTGAGGTTGGAATTCTGCAGCATTCCCTTTGGAAAGGTTATGGGAAATAGGGAACAGACAGCTGAGTTGGAAGTGGGTGGATGTAGATTGGGGTACGCACAGAGGAGGAGTTTGACTGGAAGTTCAGCAGGTGCCTTCTAGAGAGCCACTTTAGTAATATACCCACATATGTCCATGTTCAAAGAGTTTGGGGAATTTTTCATTGACAGTAATTACTATAATCTAAATGTAAAAATATAACTTTCTCTGAGTCAATTAAGGTGTGTTAAGCCTTTTATCAGAGTGTAACATGTATACAGCCAAAGGAACCAGCTGTGTGTCTGGCTGGATTGGTTTTCACAAAGTGAGCATTCAGCTTCATCAACACAAGATCAAGAAACCAGAAGTCACCTAGGGCTCCTTTCCAGCCCCTGCCCCTCTCCCGGGGTCACCTTTATCTTGATTGCTAACACTAACATCTGTTTTGCCTATTTAGACCTGTTTTGCCTCTAATAGGCCTATTTTTATATTGAATGAAAGCTAAACCAAATCTCTTAAGTCTAAAGCATTTTTATTATTGCTGAATTTAACCCTCTTGATCAGTAAGGACAGAAGTGATTTGTTTTTGATTTAGATGGCCCTTGATTAGGTCCTTCTTATCTGTGCTAAGGTGAAGTCTGAGAAGTGTAGCAGGTGCAGTCAGTGCCCCAAAGGAGGAAATGGTTAAGCAAAGCTCTAGTGATTTAGCAAGGAATCGTTATGCCTTTAGGCTGTTATTGGCATGGTACAACAGATTCACAGATTTGTATAGTGCCACTGCCTGAGTATACTTTTCTCCCATGGAGTTTTTTTATTTCTCTTTTTGAGTGCTGGGGACTTAAGCCAGAGCCTTGCCCATGTTCAGCACATAAGCACATGTTCTTCCCCGAGCTGTATCTCCAGCCCTTTTTATAAAAAGTCAGTTTAAATACTTTTATTTTTACATTTTAAAAACTGAAGTGAAATTCACCTAACACAAAATTAATCATTTTAATGTAAAAAAAATTCAATAATGGCATCCTGTGTACTTACAATCTTGTACTAACAACATCCCATCCAGCTCCCAAATACCTTATGTAGACATTGCCAACCTATGGTGCATTAAGGTAATTTGCTCTGGCTATTAGCATATCTTGAATGTGTCCCTTGAAATTTTAGCCTATCAATAAATAGCTTCAAATTATATTTACCTGCAGTGATATTTAAATGGAACAAGAACATTTTGCTTTTTTTTTGACGGTGAACTTGGTAACCTGTGGTTAAATGCTTCCTTATCAGAATTGTTTCCTGTTATCATGAGCAATAAGTACCAGCAGAAATGGAATGGGATTGATTGTGAATTGTTAACTAACGCTGTGGGTCTCCACTTAAATAACAAATCCTTGGTAACTGAAAACGTTAGTTTTCCTGTTACCTGACCTTCTGTTAGGTTCATGCAGCCTTTCAGATCCAATCATAAATTCCATATGCTCAGACAGAGCTCACTGTCTATTTCACCTAATCCTTGCTCAGTCTATTCCATGTCTGATCTCCTAATCAGACCCATGTGCCCCTCTGTCTCAGTAGGCAAGGAACTAGAGACGTATTTCTGGGGTTATTTACTCACATGATCCTAAAGAAGCCATCAATTTTTGTAGAAATCTAACTCAAATAGCATATAAAGGATGGTTAGGCTCTTTAGGACTCTGATTCCCCTCTGATCTCTTTTAAGGTCTAAAATTTGATTTTTTTTTGTTATGTGTTATTTTCAATTTTAGAAATTTTTAATTTCATTTTACTCTGGAAAGAATGTTTAGGTATATATGTTAATTAATATTGACTAAATCTATGTTGGTATCAAGAAACTAAATTATTATATATTGGGAAGTAGACTACCATATAAAATGAAAAAAAAAGGTATGTGGTACTAAAGCAGAATTAAAAACATCCTGCATCTGCTTTTCATTTTGAGGGCTTTTTTAGTTCAGTGTTTTGTTTCTTTTTATTGCATTGAACTTTTGTAAGAAGTTTGTGGAAAAAGGGATTAGTTAGTAAAGGAAGCATTTTTACCTGAACAAGTCATGTTCTCTGTCAATACACAGCACTTATACCTAGAAGATTAAGATATTATTATGCCATTAAAAATCAAATTTTCTTTGGAACTTGTCTATGAAATTAGGTATTAGATATTTAGTTTTGATTCATTTCATAAAAGAGGTCATATGAACTGGGAGTGCTGGTACATACCCGTAATTCTAACCACTTGGGAGGCTGAAGCAAGAGGATCACAGGTTTGAGGCCAGACTCAGCAACTTAGTGAGACCCTCAATGACTTGGAAATAAGTAAACAATAAAAAGAACTTGGGATGGGGCTGTCGCTGTAGCTAAGTGGCAGAGTGCTTAGCTAGCACATGTGAGGCACTGAGTTAGTTCCTTAACACCACATAAAAATAAACAAATAATGGCATGCTGTCCATCTACAACTACAAAAAATTTTAAAAAAATAGGAGATATTGTTCAGTGGTGAAGCTCCCTAGGTTCAATTCCCAATACTAAAAAAAAAAAAAAAAGCCACATGAATTTAAAAGGGAGTTGGTTAGAAGCCCATAGAATAAGTCCACAATTGGTCCAGTAGATTGAAAAAAAATTTAAGGAAGCTAACCATGATCTTGGGTGTGCTTTGTTGAATGTGGTTGAGTCTTTGCATCTATTCCTACATCTCAGGCCTATTTTTAAAAACAAAGCCTGGACATCTAAAGCTACATTTATCAGAATCCTTTGAGGCTAATATTCTACCTGCAAATTAAATTCTACTAAATGGATGCCTGGGCATAAAATTTGGAGGGCAGAGATGTGAAATAGGCCACTCTCCCCCATCTTTTGGGTTGTTTCTGCAGATATGTGAGAGACTGAAGAAGTAGCATCTTCTGTAGTAAATCTCCATTGCTTCCAAGAGCCTCCTGTGAGAGTGGCTACTCCCTATTTTCAGGTTACTCTTCCTGTGATTCTTTTGGACCCTCATAGTTCTTTCTTGATTTCTCACATTCCTGAATGTGGTGGTGGCAAGAGCTGTCCTCAAAGGTCAGAGCTGTGGTGTTCTGGGGTCATTCATGGAGACCCAACCTGAAGCCCATTTCTAGAACCTTCTCATCATTTGATCAATTGCTTATTTGATTGTTTTAAGTCCCTTTATGTTCAAAATTCAAGAAAGTTTCTGCTTCCTGCATCTAAAGTGTGCTGGATATGGACTTTTATGGCTCTAGAACTTCATGACTTTTAGTCTTCACATGATAGTAATCATCTAAACAATCTATATAATCTCTCTCTACATTTGGGTAAAAATGGAGTTTTGCTATAATGTTGGCTCTAGAATTCAGTATCCAGGATGAGTCTTTGTGGCAGGCACTTATCCTTGTAAAAAACTAGTTTTTATTAACATTCACTCCATTTAGTCATGGAACCTACCTTGGGTGGTGGGAAAAAGCAACTGTTGCTACCATTTGACACAGTGAGCTATGACTTGCTTCAGGACACAAAATTATCAGAGTCAGAATCAAAATTTAAAAGTAGATCTTAGAGTTAAATTCAAGACCCTTTACTATCTACCATGATGTCCCCAAACAGGATCCTTTTGGTAACAGAACATTTTTAAAAGAGTTCAAATGAACGCAAGTTGAAAGATTCATTGACTTTTCTAAAGAATCTTCCTGATTTTAAGATTTACACAAATGACGCTTAATGGCTACGTATACACCTCTTTTGGCTAGTGCTTTCAAATAGCT